AAAGCACTCAAAAGGCGGCCGACCTGCGTGTCCAGATACGAGACGGAGGCGAAGTAGCTCTGGCGGATCTGCCGCTGCAAATTTTCAAACAGCATGCAGTGAGCGCGGTAGCAACCCCGACCGCCACGGTGTGCCCAGGGCTAGTGTTCTCCTGAGCTTCCCTCCTGATCAGCTCATCCCTGAGCAGTTCCTCAGCCAAAGTGCAGTGTACATCTTCCCGCCATGCATGTCCCTTTGTGTGCCCACAGAGTCACAGCAAAACCCACAGGTCCAAGTCTGATCCCAATGGATTCATGAGCCACTTACTGTCCCTTTCTCTCTCCCCCATATACCCTTATGGGTCCCAGAAGATGGACATGTACGCAGACACTGACCCCCAGCCCCCCAAACACTGGCCCACGCAAGCTCTGATGTGGGTTGACACAGAGGGACCAACGTGACTCCTCGTTGTCACAGAGGAGGCTCTCCCACATGGCAATGGAGGGATGAGAGAACAGCACACCCTTCACATCCCTGAACCCAACAGGGACCTTGAGAATTACCAAGCTGAGGTGGTGGAATTGTGTTCCCCAAGAAGATACCTTCAAGTCCCCACCCCCAGTTCCCATGAACTTGACTTTGTTTGGAAATCAGACCTTTGCCAACATAATCAAGGGAAGCTGAGGTCATAATGGACTCAGGCAAGCCCTCATGCAATGACTGGTGTCCTTCCAAGTGGAGGGAAATGTGAACACAGAGGAAGAACGCCATGTAACAATGGAGTGAGAGATCGGCGGGATGTGTGCACAAGCTGAGAACCACAGGATGCCAGGAGAACACGGCCTCCAGAGCAGTGAGAAAACGAATTTCTGTCAGTTCCAAGCCACCCAGTTTATGCTATTGCTACGACTGCCACAGGAAACGGATACAAGGCTATGCACAGAGGAAGAGCAGCTCTTGGCCTGACACCCGCAGCCTGGTTCACTGGCAAGGGGTGAGGGACAAAGGAGCCACTGGCCTATCGAACCAGCCCCAGCTTCCGCTGTGTACCCGGGCCCCACCTTATCACCTGACCCCATCTGCAGCTGCTTATCACCACTAGGGTGAGGGCAATCATAAGACTCACCCACTCTGCCCACGCCGTCAAGAGAACAGATAGGCAGCTAACCTTCCAGAAGATTGCTGGTGAACCCTGGCCTACTCAGACTTTCTGGTACACAGTCTTCAGTCTATAATGTGGGGACCAACGACACCTGTCAGGGTGATTGTGTCCCACTCAAGGTCCTCCCTCTTTGCTGTGCTGGGTCCTGGAGAGAGGACACAGGCATGGAGATGAGAAAACGCAGGTATTACTGGTGGGGGCCAGGGTTTCCCCAGGAGAATGAGTGCTGCGGAAATAAAGGAAGGCTTCCCAGAGGAGGAGCATTAGAGAAGAGGTCTGAAGGGTGACTAGGAGTTTGCAGTCAGACAGCGCAGGTAGGACACTGTGAACAGGACTTACAATGCAATGTTTCTCTCCAATTCCTTCAGTGTAGCATCGACTTCTTCCTTCAATACCATTGGTCTTTGATCATATGCCACCTCCTGAAATGGATGAAGATTGACCAATTCTTTTTTTGGGTACAGTGACTCTGTGTACGCCTTCCATCTTCTTTTGATGCTTCCTACATCATTCAATATTTTGCCCATAGAATCGTTCAATATTGCAACTCCAGGCTTTCATTTTTTCCTGTTCTTTCAGCTTGAGAAATGCTGAGCGTGTTCTTCCCTTTTGGTTCTCTAACTCCAAGTCTTTGCACATTTCATTATAGCAATTGGCTTTGTCTGCTCAAGCTGTTCTTTGAAATCTTATGTTTAGCTCATTTATCTTGTCATTTCTTCCATTTGCTGTAGCTACTCTCTGCTCAAGGGCAAGTCTCAGAGTCTCTTCTGGCATCCATTTTGGTGTTTTCTTCCTTTCTTGTCTTTTTAATGACCTCTTGCTTTCTTCATGGATGATGTTCTTGATGTCATCCCACAATTCCTCTGGTGTTTGGTCACTGCTGTTCAATGCATCAAATCTATTCTTTACATGGTCTCTAAATTCAGGAATGCTATTATCAAGGTCATCTTTTGGCTCTTGTGGACTTGTTTAAACTGTCGTCAACTTCAACTTGAACATGCATATGAGCAATTGATGGTCTGTTCCACAATCAGCTCCTCACCTTGTTTTGGCTGAAGATATTGAACTTCTCCATTGCCTCTTGCCACAGATGTAGTTGATCTGATTCCTGTGCATTCCATCTCATGAAGTCCACATGTATAGCCATCGCTTATGTTGCTGAAAAAAGGTATTTGCAATGAATAAGTCATTGGTCTTGCAAAATTCTATCGTTCAATCTCCAATGTTATTTCTATCACCAAGACTATACTTTCCAACTACCAGTGATGCTTTTTGGTTCCCAACTTTTGCATTCCAGTCACCAGTGATAATCAGCACATCTCGATTGCATGTTCGGTCAATTTCAGCCTTCAGAAGTTGGTAGAAATCCTCAATATCCTCATCTTTGGCATTGGTGGTTGGCGTGTAAATTTGGATAATAGTAGTATTAACTGGTCTTCCTTGTAGGCGTATGGATATTATCCTATCACTGACAGTGTTGTTCTTCAGGACACATCTTGGAACAGTCTTTGGGACACTGAAGGTCACGTCATTCCTCTTCAACTTGTCATTCCCAGCATAGTAGAGCATATGGTTGTCTCATTCAAAATGGCCAAAACCAGTCAATTTCAGCTCACTAATGCCTAGGATATTGATCTTTATGCATTCCATTTCATTTTTGACAACTTCCAATTTTCCTAGATTCATACTTCATACATTCCATGTTCCAAATATTAATGGAGTTTGCATCTGTTTCTGCTCATTCTGAGTCATGCCACATCAGACAATGGAGGTCCAGAAAACTTTCCTCTATCCTTATCATTAAGGTCATTTCTACTTTGAGAAGTCAGCTATTCCCTAGTCAAATTTTGAGTGCCTTCTGACCTGATGGGCTCATTTTCCAGCGCTATGTCGGACAATGTTTCAGGGCTGTTCATAAAGTTTTCCAATAATATGTCAGACATTGTTTCACTGCTATTCATAATGTTTTCACTGGCCAACTGTCTGAGGAGTGGATGGCCTCTTCCTTCTTCTGAGTCTGTCTAAACCTGAAAGCTCCACTGATGTCTCTCCACCATGGGTAATCCTATTGGCATTTTGCAACACGGTGGCATAACCTCCAGCCGCACAGCAACACTTAAGCTACCACAGGACGACAAATTGACAGACAAGTTCATCTCCCTTAGTTGTTTCTAACCCCTCTGTACCTGCCTACCTCAAGCCCCGGCCTTAATGTAGAACCACACCCAACAAAAAGTGGCCTCAAAGCCCCCAGCCTGCCTATCTCAGGCCCCTGTCTTAATAGAGAGCCCCACCCAAGCAAAAAGCAGCCACCAAGACCCTGAACTGGGAGGAAGGGCAAAGTGGGCCCCATGGGGGTCTAGGACTGTCCCTGGGAAGTAGCACCTCCTAAGCCATGAAGATTGGGAGTGGATGATGCTCAGGTGGTTTGGTGAGGAAACCCAGGAAGTGGCCAATTCTAGAAGGCCTGTGGCTAGTCAATAGCAAGAAGACAGCACAAAGCTCAGGGAAGGCCAGACCCACAGAATTTATTTCATTTGTCAACAAGGTCTGTGCCGGCCTGGGTGAGAGGCTACTCAGTGGGTGGGCTGGCAGAAGCTCGAGAAGAATGAAGAGTGAACAGATAGGGAGACTACAACACAAAGAGAGCGACAGCAGGGCCGGGGAGAGTGGACACAGGTAGGGGCAAGGAGGGGCCCACAGACACCAAGTGAGGGAGGGCCCGTCGACCAGCAAATGCCCACCGAGGATCGCGGAAGACACCAGAAACTGGGACAGAAGTTCAGAGCAGGCATCCACATGGCCGAGACCCTGATGTGGACTTTCAGTCTCCAGAACAGTGAGACAAGCAGCATCTGTACACTTGAACACCACCACTTGCACTATGCTGTGTTACACACAGCAACCTCAGGACACTAAAACAGCAGCTGACCAGTTAACGTGAGGATTCTAACTCACCCCATGGCTGCTCCACCTGCACGTCATAGCAAAGGGACATGAGACATCACAGCTGGTTGGTACTGGCCATGGTGGTGCCCTGGCTCCCTCTGCACCAAGCCACCCCCGAGAGGGAAGGGCTCCTGTGTAGACTTCCCACAGAGAGGATCTACAAGTACCAGAGACCATGCGTTCTGGTCTGCAAGGAAGCCGCCCACCCCTACAGTTAATGAACTGTCACTGTCAGCACCATGCCCACATCAACCGAGTCACCATACTCTCTGAGTGCTCCCCTCTTTGGAAGCCGAGACTGGTTGGGACACTCCTAAGCCACCGACACCTCCTGTGTCCCCAATACCTACAGCCCCACTTGCCTCGGCACCTCGCACCATACCTGCACAGAGAAGGTTCTCAGCAACACATTACAGAGTAGCGTCTACTGAGAAAAGGGGTTTCCCCAACAACCCATCATTGGTGCCCAACACTTTGCCAAAGCAGGCCGTTGATACCTGGAAGTCTGCAGGAATGGGGCCATAGGGCACACTGATGTTCAAGGCTTCCACGTCCTCCCGCTGCCTGATGTCCATCCAGGGGTTGTAGGCCACAGGGGGTAGGCCAGCAGGTACCTGGGGGTCAGGGGCCAAGGTGATGTTCTCCAAGGGATATAACTTCTGAAACTCCTGGGGAAGAGCACACAAAGGCACAAGGCTGTCACACCAGTGCTCTCTGCCTTCTCTGGAAGCCTGTGATACAGTCACATGGTGGCTCACTGACACGCCCCACCTGGAAGTCAGGCCTTGGTCACCCTCATAGGGAACAATGGCGATAGAATCGTGTAACCTCTGTCTCCCGTGAACCAAGGAGTGACAGCTCTCTCCCCTCATACAAACACATGTCCTGCCCTGGTCCCCACCTGCCTCTAACAAGGAACAGTGTAGAGAGGTGTGCTGGGGGTCCCTACGATGCCCCAGGGCTGTTAACTCACTAGGATGACAGACAGGACTCAGCATCTAGTTGTCCTCACAGCTCTGCTGTGTTACAGAGGACACAGAGCACACCCAGCAAAGGGAAAAGGTGTGGAGGGCGGTCAGGGAGAGAGCTTCCAGGTCTTCCTGCAGTGCATGCACACGAGGCATGACATCACATGAGAACGTCATCTCCCAGGAAAGCTCCTCAGAGACCCAGTGTCTAGGGCTTTCACGGGGGGCTGCTCACGTCTGCACCCAGCAGGCAAGCAGGTGCTCAGCAGGAGCAGCACTGTCTGAGGAAGAGTCTAGACTTGCTGAGAACCAGTCTCATCCAGTTCCCCAAGCCAGCCGAGGGCCAACCTCATAAACAGGCCCCTCCAAAGAGAGCAGTCAGGCTTGCTTGGTGAACTCTTCTCTGCAGAGGAAGCCAGAGGACTAAGCCACACAGGCCTCCACCAAGGGGGTGGCAGCTCCTCTTGGGAAGGAACGAGTCTCTGGGACAAAGAAAGGAGGATACGTGCACCGTCAGAGGACAGCCTTTGTGGCTCCACTCTCCTGCCGAAGGAGGCGCGTCCTTCGTGAAGTCGAAGGACTAGCTGCTCAGGCCCCAGGGGAAGCACAATGGAGAAGGACTGACAAAGGTTCTAGAAAGGCCTACAAGCAAAGGACTGGAGCTGCCGACAAGCAGCCCATCATCCCATGCGGCTCCCTGTTCCCCTGAACTGCTTCCCAGGACCAATCCCTTAGTTTGGTGACCGGCTCAGACTCATACCCTACAAAGACCTAACCATCCAACCCAACGTGTGTCCACCGAGTTCAAGGCGAAGAAAGAAAAGCTGTCCTTGTGGCAAGCCAAGTGTTTCTGACAGGACTCTGACATGTCCTAGGCCCCTTCTTGGCCCTGAACTCTGAATCACATCTTTACTCCACTGGGCATCCCTGGTGAGTGGGGACAGCAGGATGGGGCTACCTTTACTATGCAACCCTCCCTCAACACACAACACAGCTACAGAGGTTGTGCTGGACCAATCCTCGGCCAGCTTTTTCACCTTGGGGTATCTGAAGGGGATGTGCGGCTTATGGTACCCAACAGCCAAGAAGAAAGGCCTGGCCGACGTTTTCATCTTTCCCAACAACTGGATGGCTTGCTCGGTGCTCTGCTTGTCAGGCAAGGTGCCCTCAGGCACGTCCGCCACATCCACGGGGCAAAGTAGGTTGGCATGGAGCTCTCCGTCTCGCCCCCTGCAGGTCTTTCCAAACAAAACATATAAGGTCAGCTTTGCACGTGCACCAAACCCACATAGGTTACACCCATGGGTTTCACACTCATGTTGCCAGCCCACTGAACGTTAGTCACTCAGACTGGACAGGCATGTCATAAGGAGAACTAAAACAAAAGCTTTTCTTGTTTCCCAGGCAGGGGCTTACAATCCACCCGCACTTTGCTTCCTACAGTTAATTCTCTGTCTCCAGGTCATAACTAATTAAAAGAAATGCAACTAAACTAATGACCAAAAATAAAGCTATCTACAATTCAACTATAACAGGACAAATAAAATAACCAAAAAATAAGCAAATGAGCTCAACATACACTTCTCTAAACAAGAATAAAAATGGCCAAAAGCACATGAAAAGATGTTCAACGTCAACTGCTGTTAGGAAAACACTAATCAAAACCACAATGAGTGACGGTAACTGCAGATAAGCGCCGAATAGCAGTACTCTCCCGTAAAATATATAAAATACACGGAATTCAAAATCTTCTAGGATCTACATAAAAAATAAAAAAAACACAATGAGATACCACTTCCCACCCACTAGGATGGCCACGTAGATATATATAAACAGATAATAATAAGCGTTGGCAAGGATACGGAGAAGTTAGAACCCTCACTCATTGCTGGTGGGAATGTAAAGTGGTACAGCTGCTGTGGAAAACAGTCTGGTGGTTCCTCAAAACGTTAAACAGAGGGTCACCATATGACTCAGCAATTCCACTCCTAGGTATTTACCCTAGAGAAGTAAAAACATACATTCACACAAAAACTAGTGCACAAAAGCTCATAAAAAAACTCAAAACCCATTGCCATGGAGTCAATTCCAACTCCCAGGCCCCTAGAGGACACAGTAGAATTGCCCCCTAGGGTTTCCAAGGCCATCAGTCTTTACGGAAGCAGACTACCTCATTATTCTCCCACAGAGTGGCTGGTGGGTTCGAACCACTGACCTCTTGGTTAGTAGCCCAATGCTTGAACCACCAGAGCTCCTTCACAGGTTCCCAGCAGCACCATTTGTTGTTGTTGTTGTTATGTGCCGTCGAGTCGGCCCCGACTCATAGCGACCCCTCCTTGGGTTTCCGAGGCAGTATCACTACGGAAGTAGGATTGCCCAACCTTCCTTCCGAGGAGTGGCTGGTGGGTTTGAACTGCCAGCCTTCTGGTTAGCAGTCAAGTGCTTTAGCCACTATGCTACCAGAGCACCATTTACACTAGCCAAAAGGGAGAAACAATCTAAATGCCCAGCAACAGACAGCTGCGTGACTGAAATGTGCTCCATCAGTGCAATGCAGGAGTACTCAGTCCTGAAGAGAGACGAAGTTCTCACACTGCTGCCACACGGATGACTTCTGAAAACATCATGCTGATGAAATAACTCAGACATCAAAGACAAATACTGCCTGATTCCTTCGATATGAAATGTCCACAGAAACAAAGCCTCAGAGGTTTTCAGGGACTGGGGAAAGGGAGCAAATGGGGGTGGGGGGAATGGGAGTGGGCTTTCTTCTGAGGGACTGAAAGCATTCTAAAACGCGTGATGGTCGCACGTTTCTGAATACACTAAAACCCATTGAACTATACGCTTTAAATGGGTACATTTTATGGTATGTAAATTATGCCTCAATTGTTAAGCATTGGGGAAAAAAAGAAAAAAAATCCCTCAATTTCAGCAATAGCCTAAGGCTCCTCAGTAACAGGGTCCCAGCTAGCTAGACCAGGTGACCTTACAGTCCACGGATTTTCCAGATCCTGGGGTACACACATATAACTGAACCTCCTGCTTCATATGTCTCAAGCCACCTCGCTGGCCACAGGCTGAAAGAAGGCTGGACTATGGCTTGGCCATCCAGGAGCCTGCGGGGCAGCAGAACGCCATTACACGGCCCTGCCTCACTCATGCACCCGCAGAAGGACACCCACACCACAGAGCCCCCTCACCCTCTGTGCCCCCACGACGGGCAGCACTGAAGGGGGATTTGGTACAGTCAGACTCGCTGGTTGGAGAAGAAAGGGGGTGGGGGCAGGGCCCAGCACTTCCAAGGGAGGCCACCAGAAAGCAGCAAGAAAGTGGCAGGGAACTGAGAGATGGGCCTTTGATCTCATTCTGCTCCAACTCAAGTCACAAACCAAAGGCCACACCCCTCAGCTTTCATAGTACTCTGAAAGCCAAAGTTGTCAAGAACTGAGAACAACCCCCTCCACCCCACTCACCACCCCCACAAAACAAACTACATCTTCACCCTTCCCCACAATGTCTCCAAAACCCCAGAGGGATGTGACACATCTTAGCTCTCCAGCTAATTTTCTGAGTTCCTTAAATGTAGCTTTTCGTTTCTTTCACATACCGGGCTCCTCTGAACCCAGGGTAAGTTTCCATGACGCTCTAAGCACCTGAAAGTCTCCATTCGGCCCTAGGCTGAGGCTCCCAGAGTCCAGGTCCCCCTTCTCTCTCCCACAGCGCAGCATCTCCCACAAGCCCCAGCTCAGAGCATAACCCACAGTGAGCACCAAGGGGCCAGTACCCCCAGCCTCTAGAACGAAGCCACCTCTCCGCCAGGCCCAAGACTAGAGAGCCCGACACTTGTCTCTGGCAAGACTTGAGGAGCCACAAAGGAAACCCACAAGCCTCACTGGATAACCAGCTGGAAAGAGCATGGCACACACCCAGCGGGCACCCTCATTTGTGAGTTCTTTACCCCCTTACCTTGGTGTTTTCGTACTTCTCTGAGGAGGGATGGTAAGGTGGGATGGACCAGCTATACGGATAATCATCACTGTGGTTGGAAGATATTCCTTGAGAGAAAACAAATGAAGTCATTGAATAAAACAGTGCTCTCCTCCTCACCCAAAGCACAACTGGGCCTCAGTTCTAACATTAAGAACTTAGGCCAGGCGATGAGGAAAAGTCTCCACTGAAGCCAACTCTGCAGGTTTCAATTTGCGTATTTAGCATCTGACCTCCTGGTCCCTAAAACCCACACAACTGGTGGTAGGCTCTGTGGAAGGGACCCAAAAGGCAAGACCAGACAGCCCCTTTGTCATGAATTCAACCCTATCCTCCAAAGAGATGTTCAAGCTCTAAGCCCTGTACCTATGAACGTGGCCTTATGTGGAAATGGGGCCTTTGTAGATACAATTAGTTAACTTGACGCCATACTGGAATTCCAAAGCCACGGCCATAGAGTCAATTCCGACTCACTATGCCCCTAGCAGACAGAGTAGAACTGCTCTGTAGGGTTTCCAAGGCTGTCTATCTACATGGAAGCAATGCCCAAACCAAACTTACTGCCGTGGAGTCGATTCCCACTGACAGCACCTCTAGAGGACAGAGTAGAACTGCCATAGAGGGTTTCCAAGGCTGTCAATCTTCACAGAAGCAGACTGCCTCAACTTTCTCCCATGGAAGGGCTGGTGGGTTCAAATCTCTGACCTTCTGGTTAGCAGCTGAATACTTTAACCACTGTACCACTAAAGCTCCTTATACTGGGATAGGGTGAGCCCTCATCCAACATGACTGGTGTCCTTATAAGAAGAGAAGACACACAGATGGACAGGCACAGCGAAGACAAACAACCACATGAAGATGGAGGTAGCAACCAGGGTTGTGGTGTCACAAGACAACTTGGAAAAGGCAAGAAAGGGTCTCGCCCTAGAGCCTTCGGAGGGAGCACAGCCCTGCCAACACCCTGAACTCAGCCTCTCAGCCCCCAGAACAGTGAGGGACTAAATTTCTGTGGACTTCAGCCAGGAATCCCTGGGCAGTGCAAATGGTTGAGGGACTCGGCTGCTACCTCAAAGGCTGGTGGTTCAAGTCCACCTAGAAGTGTGTCTGGAGAATGACCTGGCGAGCTACTTCTGAAAAACTCAGCCGCTGGGAACCCTGTGGGGCACAGTTCGACTCTGACACTCATGGGGTTGCCAGGAGTCGGGACACACTGGACAGCAACTGGTCTTGTGCTTGTCTGTCTGAAGTCACCCACTTCGTAGTCATATGTTCCAGTAGCCTAGCCTTTCAGAGTCCATGCGGAGTCCTCTCCCTCCCACAGGGAGGAGGCAGCAGATGCATGGGCACTGCTGTCTGACAGGGAGGCTCAGAGAACAGTGTGGTGGGCCACGCCTCACAGAACTCACAGCCGGGCGTCACCATTCTGGGGCATAAGCATCACCATCCACACTCCACCTGAGCAGACAAAACACCAACAGGTGAAACCAAAGTCCGACTGGCAGCTGTCAAAACCAGGAGTGCCGTGTGAGTGAGGGTGACCCCAAGCACAGAGGCGCGTGGGCGAGGGAGGGCAGGCAGGGCGGCATCCTAGGGGTCCAGGAGGCTTTGCAGGAACCTGAAGGGAAGTGCTGCTCCGAGGATCAGCCAGGAGGTGCCTCAAATGCATCACACCAGAGCCATGCTGGCCTCCCTGGGGAGCAGAGGAGCCAGGCCAGAGGGACCAGAGGGATGGGGGGCACAGTGGAAAGAGCACATGGGGGCCTGGCACACCTGCTTCCAATCCTGGTGCTGCCCCTTACATACCAATAACCTTAGGCAAGTGACTTGACCTCTCTCAGCCTCTTTGCCTGTGCAGGTAATGACAATGATGGCAAGAACCCACCTTGCTTGCTATTGTGAGGTGACCGCTATGTACCTGGCACTCAGTGGTAACCCTGTCCTCCTTAAGCTGGCCCATCCCTGACAGCAAAAGGTCTTGAGAACAAAGATCCAGTTGAAAACCATTTCCACAAGGATAGCAAGAAAAGGTTTTGTTCCCTGACTAGGGGCCTGGCGTGTGACCCCGAGATCAAACCCTCAGGAGGAAGGAAGCCAGACAACAGGCTCCCTCCCCCAAGCACTTTCTCCTCTCCTGCTGCGTTTCCACCTGGCTCCAAGTTCACCATGTCCCTCGAGCTGTGCTCAGGCAAGGAAAGGGTGTCACGATGTGAATACCACGCTGCAGAAAGTTCTACTCCTGCTGGCCTTTCAGCCGTACCACCTAATTGCCAGGCAGGTTCATCCTCAAAGCTGGGCCCAGGTGAGCCCAGCTGAGCGCTGCCCTCAACCTGGGCTGGACAGCTGGGTTCTGGAAGGCTGCCGAGCCTGTCGGTAGGACCAGGGAGCAAAGGAAAGCTCCTGGACAGTTTCCGGTTGTCACACTGAGAATAAGCTCTGCCACCTGTGTGGGGCCATTCCCAGCACACCCTCACGCTCAGGATGTACTGCCCGGACCTGGATGCTTTCCTGTGAGGTCATCAGTGCAGCTAACACAGCAGCCTCACAGACAAAGAATCTGAGGTTCAAAGACCAATGATTTTCCCAAGGTCAACTGCAGAGCTAAGAAGTGGTAGCGCTAAGACTAGACTCCAGGTCCCAGAGTCACAGTGCCACTGCCCATCAACAGCCTCACTCTGCTTCCAGAGATGGCCGGATGACAGCAAGCCACTGAGAACAGCTTCAAGTTCAATGGTGATGTTTCTGTGTGACAGACTACTGTGCTGTCCTGAGAAATGACTTCACTGCTGTGGAAAATGAGGCAGTGGCTCTAGAAGTTGAACAGAGAATTACTACATGAACCAGCAATCCCACTCCTAAGCGGAGCATATGTATGTTCCCAAAGGTACAGGCCCCACACACTCAACAGCAGGGACTCAAGACACCAGTGTTCACCGGGGCACTCTTCACAATCCACAGAAGCCAAAAGGTAGAACAACGTGTCTATCGCCTGATGAAACGAGAAGCCACAGGTGGCCTGCCCTCACAATGGGGTCTTATTCAGCCACACAAAGGACTGGAGGCGTGAAGCACGCGACAACATGAGTGAACCCTGAAATTGTCATGCTGAATGAAGGCAGTCAGAAGAAGAGGGCAACTATTCGAGGGCCTCGCTTATTTCAAATGTTGAGACCAGGCAAATGCACAGCCAAAGGAGAAGTAGTGGTTACCGGTCAATGCTTCTAAAATGCACACTTAAAAATGGCTCAAATGGGAAGTGTTTTGCTAGATACACTTCATTCACCTCAATAAAATGTTTTCAATGGCTTTTGTGAAGAGTAATTCTCTGGGAAAGTCATTCGGTTCTGAACCACTTCAATCTGAAGACTACATTTGTGAGACGATCTCAAATCAGAACAAAAATCAAAAACCAAACCCATCGCCATCAAGTCCATTCCAACCCACAGGGACGCTCCAGGACACAGTACAACTGCCCCACAGGGTTCCCAGAGCTGTCAATCTTCATGGAAGCCAACTGCCTCAGCTTTCACCCACAGAGCAGCTGGTGGGTTTGAACCACCAACCTTCTGGTTAACAGCCAAATGCCTTCACCACTGTGCCACCAGAGCTCCTTATGCACACAACAGGGACAAAAAATTACAGCTCTCCTCCGAGTGCTCAGAGTACCAGCCATTTACATTCTTTAGTTTATACTTCCCTTGTTTCCCAATTTTTGGTGCAATGAGCACACACTTCTTCCATAAAGAGAAAAGGAGGCTGTGCTCAGCATTCCCACGGTGCTAAGAAACAGAGCCAGCTTCTTCTCATGCAGGTCCAAGGTCGGGAGGGCTGGCTCTTGGGGCCAGCTGCCACTTGCTTGCTGGCTCTGACCTGAGCCCCACAGTGGGCAACAAGGCAGCTCAGCCCTGGCCTGTGCAGGCCCGACCAAGGGTCAAGGACAGAGCTGGGCTCGCACCTCATACTCCCACCTCTTCGCCCAGTGCCCTTCCTACCACTCGAGCCACTGAAAGACCCCAACAGCTCTGGGGCTAATTTCTGAGAGGAAGCAGGACTTCTGCTCTTTTTCACCTTTGGTGAGAGCCTGGAGCCACAGTGACAGGTGATTTTCTAAAGAGGCAGCAGAGGTTAATGAGGGCCCGCCCAGCTAGAAAAAGCCTCTGCAAAGACTCCCCAAGCCCAGGAGGGGACAGCCTCACCGGGCCAGAAACAAACATGAGCCCAGGCTTTGGGCAGCAAGGCATACCAGGGTGAAAGACTTTTCCAACCGACATGGTCACATAGCCATTCTCCTTGAAGTACTGGGGGATGGTGGAGAAGTTTCCAGCACGCACCCTCCAGTAGGAGTTGAAGTCGTAGAGGCGGGTGGTGTCAGGCCTCCTCCCGGTGAGGAAGGACACGCGACTCGGGGCGCACACTGCTTGCTGGTAGGGAACAGAAGCAGAGTTAATCATCGTCAGAGAAAAACAGATTTGTCATCTAGAAGGCAACCCAGCAGCCTCCTCGGGGCCTCTCAGTCAACAACTCGGGCTGAGTCATGCAGCTCTCGGAGCCAATCAGCGGGATGTGGGCCTCAACCAGGTGCCAGAGCTATCTTCCAGAAGAGAAGAGGAGTGAATCAGCACCCCAAACAACAGCGTCTCACAGGCCCACAGAGCAGACATCACCCTGAGGCAGCCCTCTGAAGGGCTCAGAGGCATGTCCCCAGGGTACCTGCTCAAAGGTGGCATCCTGTAGCACTCTTCCTTCTGCACCTGAAGCAGTCACCTCCTGGGAAGAGAGCTGGGAAGGACTGTCCTGAGCACATGCAGACCAGGGAGTACCCCCCAATCCAGGAGGGTGCACCCTTGAGTGCACAATCGGCCTTGTGAGCAGCCAACCGGATTTGGCGGCTGCCAGGGTCCAGACCATGGTTCCCCCTAACCCTGAGATGTCTGGCACCATCAGCACCATCTAACGATAGTGAAGGGACCCACCCCTCCATGGAGAAGACACCCACCCACACCTGGGGAGCCCCAGACATACCTGGGCAAAGGCATTCTGGAAGAGCAGGCTGTGGGATGCCAGCTGGTCGATGTTTGGGGACCTCACGAGCTTGTCCCCATAACAACCCAGGGTGGGGCGCAGGTCATCCACAACAATGACAAGGACATTCCGAGCATCTGCTCAGGAGGAAGGGCTTCAGTGAGATCAACTGTGCTGACATTGAACTCCCATCCCCACAGTAGGTGCTTGGGGTATGGTACCCCAAGGCTGGCTCCTGCACCTCACCAGCCCAGCCAGTGCCCATACAAGGGCACAGCCAGGGGTTGGCACTGGGGCATAAAACCCACCCTCTGCCTCAGTGGAGGTTGGGGAGCAGGGTGCACAGAAGCGCGAGTCTTGGGTGGCAGGATGAGGCTTTGGCTATAGGCCTCAAGCAGGGATGAAAGATGGAGTGAGAGGGAGGGAGAAAGAGGCAAGGATGGAGACAGGTAAGGAAGGAGGTTTGCGTGGAGACAGAGGAATGGCAGGAGAGAAGAATGGAGGGAGGGAGAGAAGGATGGTGCGTGGGATGTAAGGATGAAGGGGTGAAGGAGAGGGGAGGGACTCCCGGACGATGAAGGAAGGGAAAATGGAGGGGAGGAGGAGGCAGGGAAGGCTGGCAGATGAAGAAGGGAGGGAGGCAGGGAGAGTGGATGGATGCAGGGAGAGAGGGCAGGAAGGAGCAAAATGAAGGGAAGGAGGAATGGAGGAAGGAAAGGAAATACGCAGGGATGGATGGATGAAAGGAAATGGAGGGAGGCAGGGAAGGAAGGAGTGAAGATGGAAGGGAGGACGAATGGAGGAAGAGAAAGACGGATGAAAGGAGAGAGGACGAGAGGATGGATGGATGGATGGAGGAAGGGCTACTGGGGCGAAGGAACAGACGGAGGCCGCCAAGGTGGGAAAGAGGCTGAGGAGGAGGAGGCAGGGAACTCCGCGGGCGGGAGAGGGCGAGGGACAACACCTGTGACCGAGTTCCCCTGCACTGCAGACTCGAGGGCCGCGCTGACGGAGGCCAGGACTAGACCGAGCCCGAGCAGGCCCCAGCCAGGCGACGGTGGCATTTCTGCTTCGGGCTGCGCTCCGGCGCAGCGCTGACCGGCTGCAGCCGGTGGGCGGAGGAGCAGCCACCGCCGCAGCCGCGGCGTCCGGAAGGAGCGCCACCAACTAAGCTAGGGGGCCGCCGCCGGCCCTACAGGACCGGCCTGGTCCCACTGCGCATGTGCGTGGTGCCCCGCACCGCCCCCTCTGGGGCGGAGCCTGGCGGCGCGCGTGGCCCAAGCTCGTGATCCTGGCCACAGTGGGCGGAGCTGCGAGCCCTTCCGGGCGATAGTCGGCCCACAGCCCACTCACATGCTGAGCGCGCTGCTTGCAGCCTCTGTGCCTCGCTTGTGCCACGCCTGTCACTGGGCACGTCTTGCCCCTCCCTCCTCTCTGTAAACCACACATCGCCCCTGGCCGGTCCAAACGCCACCCTCCTTCAGGGAGGCCCCTCGCTTGAGAACCCCCTTCCTCCATCTCCAAGGACCCCCGTTCCTATTCACCTGCTCAACAAACACTGTGGTGGTGGTGATGTAGGTGCCGTCAAGTCGGCTCCAGCTTGTAGCGACCCTATGTAGAACAGAACAAAACACTGCCCAGTTGTGAGCCAGCCTCACAATCCCAGAACCCACTGTTGCTGGCACTATGTCAATCCAACAAGTACTGAGGACCGCAAATAGAGCCAATAGGCACTGACGTCACCAGTTCCTGACCCGTGGAGCTTCCAGACAGACAATGAAGAAAGATACACAGAGCCTAGAAAATAAACAGGGTGGAGTGTGGCGCTTGCTAGTTTCAGTGGGGCGGCCAGCCAAGGCCTCACTAGTGAAGTGCCACTTGGACAAAACTCTCAGGCAGTGAGGGGAGGGAGCCAGCCGCGTACGAAGTCCAAGAAGAACGCAGCCGCCTGAGGGTGCCACAAGCTTGAGAGTGAAGGAGGGACCAGAGGCCTGGGGGCTTCGAGGGCAGGAAGATGAGAGGCGGCTGTTAGCTACCTCGACTCACAGGGACCGGTGCACAAAAAAAGGACAA